TAGCTTGATCCAAAATGATTTACCAAACCCAAATTTAACAATGACATCAAAGAGATATGGCCATTCGATTCTATCAAACGCCTTCTCTGCGTCGAGCGAGAGAATGGCTGTATCTTCCTGTTTACTTTGATTGTGAAGAATGTTGAGGACTTGCCTTACATTATGAAAACCCTACCTATATTTAACAAATCCATTTTTAACATCTTCTATAAAGTTATTATAGAAGAACATTTTCTAATCTATTGAATAGAATTTTACAGAGAATTTTAGTATCTGTATTGATTAACCTTATAGAACGCATATTTTCACATTTTTTTTATTTAGTTTTCAAGGTTTAGGAAGCAGTATTATCAAGGACTCCCTCAATGAGGCAGTAAGATTACCAGTATTAAAGCATTCTATATAGACATATCTAAGAGGGGCTGTCAAGGTCAGTTGGCCGTCCCTTTGGCCAGCTGTTTTACCAGCATTTAGAGCATTTAAATTCAAATTCAGTAATATGAGTGTATATGAATTTGAATGTATTTATTTCAATCAATCAATTAATCAATCAATCAATCAAGGCTTTATTCGCCAAGTGCAGGTTGCCCTGCAGTGAAATGGGACCCCCCTGACCTTACACACACAACACAGACGTCACATGGGGATACAGGTCGGAGATCGGTAGCGTTACAGAAAAAAACACTGAAATATACACTACAATGAGAAAGTACAAGAGGAAAAAAAGAGACCTCTACTCATTCTGGGCTCCTGTTGGAGGACAGCATGAGAACAGGAAACAAAAAAACTCCTCTGCACAAAAAAGCACATAAATGTCCACAGCACAACATTATGGAACACGTGACAAGCCACAGGGTTGGGTGGGGGGTGAGGAGTAATCCGAAGCAAACACAGCAGCCATCCTGCCCAGCGCTACCATTCCAGCGCGGGCTCAGACCCGCCGTGTTCCCAGGAGGGAACAAGCATTGAAGGCGTTTGGAAAGGGAGGGGGGATGAGTGTGTGCATATCAGTGTATATGTATGTGTGTGCGTGTCCAGAGTTCAGCTGAGACAGTGTCCTTCGCCCTGCCAGGCTAAGTAAACAGTCTTCTAGCCAACCCAGGTGGTCTCGCATGGAATAGGAAGAACAGTCTAAACACAGTCGTTATCAGGGTGTTTTTGTTCGGCTCCAGCCTTGAGACTGCAGCTGGCGCTGAAAGGGTGTCCGCATAAAGTGATGGTGTTTTTTACTTTAGTGCGAACAGCTCATATGAATTTCAAAGCTGTTCTAACAGTCCAACACTGGTCTCTCAATCTCCCGTTGGACAGCCGTGAGCTTCTCCATGATGTTATCAAACTTGCGCTCTGTGATGTTGTCATTCTTGTGCTCAAAGAGCCGATTCTGAGAACTCACGACCACAGCGAGCTTCTCCAAGATGTAATCCAATTTGTGCTCAGAGGTGTTATTCCGAGTGAGCCCCTCCAAGATGTAATCCAGTCTGCACTCAGAGATCTTATTCTGAGTAATCATGGCAGCCATAAGCCAAGATCTTATCCGTGCTGCACTCAATGAGCCCATATTGAGAAACTCACACCTCTTCCCATCGTTTCAATCCCAGCGGGCAGCCTTGTGCGGGTTTGAACAGCCGGTTCCGCTTTCTTAATTCTTCGATAAGTCAGGGCCAAGCCAGCTCCGATCACCAAGAACCCTGTTACCATGGTTCCCGAATAGGTAGATATCTTCAGTACTCAGGGTCACCCAAGCCCAAACTTCTCGTTGAGAAAGGGGTGTCAATTAGAAAGGGGTGTCAATTTAAAAGGGACAGTTCAGTTTAACATAGTCCAAGTACAAAACATGAAACTGATGTAACACACATAAGTTTATAGCTATTGCTAATTTTCAACAATTGTCCCTTGTTGGGCTTACAATCAAAATAGATACATTTTACAATGAAATATACATTTTCATAAAACCAAAATAAATAAATAAAACTACAATTAATAGACAATAAATTAAAAAATAAAAATCATTAATTAAAATGTATATTAATTTGCCTGTCAACATTTTCTTTGACTTCCTAAGAAATTTTTGGTATATCAATTTTATCTAGAAATAAAGATTGCATTGTAGTTGCGTTGTTGTATTCAGAATTATATAATGTTTCATGAAACATTTTAAATGCATTATCTCTGATGGGTCTACTGTAATATTTTCATTTGAAATGTCAAGGTTTTCAGATTCCTGCTGTTTTATACGCCAAGCCAGAAGCTTGCTGGGTTTTCCCCTTGATCATAGAATTGTTGCTTTAATCTCAATAAATTTACAGCTGCTTTTGCGCTTGTCATTTTGTTATATTGCGTTCTCAATAGTAATAATTCTTTTAAATTGTCCTCTTTATTTTGGCCTGATTGAAAGCTGGTCTCTTCTAACAGTTTTATTTTTTCTTCCAGATATTTTATCTTTTGATTTCTTTCTCTTGTTTTCTTACTAGTATAGCTTATGATTTGCCCTCTTAAGTATGCCTTGAAGGCTTCCCATCTTACACTTGCCAATGTTTGAATTGTGTTCAAAGTATTCATTAATTTGCTTGCCCCTGCGTCCTGTCTGGATCCAACTCCATTTAAAATGGTACATTTTCTCATGTTATACATTTGATCTGTTTTCTGTATACTACTGTGTGTAGAATATGAGTACATGATTTTTTAAAATGAATTTGTATGCCGAATAAGAATATAGCTCAATGACTAACAAGTAACAGAGGTCATGTAAATTAATACACTGTTTTTAATGTTACAATAATAATAAAATAAATAAGTGATAGTAGAAAATATCACTTCAGAACAAGGTGAACAGATATTACTAAATACAACCATTTAATTTTAATTTTTATCAAAAACACCTGCATTGGAAATGAAGTTAACTGTACAGCACATTGTCCACTTTCATATGACCTGCATGACAAGGACTGTGTTATTTCATGTAGAGGTGAAGAATCTAAAAAGTGCTTCTTGTAGTCTGTCTTCTGGGATGTTTAGCTTCAACACATCAGACTCCTGTCAGAAACATCCAGTGTCACATTATTAAGCAGTCTGAGCACAGCAATTATGAATTTTCCTTCCTATCTTTCCTTGACCTCAAGATGTCTTCTGTTGAGGTCAAGAGAAAGTAATTAGTAACGTTTGGGCCTTTGAGATACATATGTATGTTGTTATTTGTTTTTTTTAACAAACTTTTTATTAATTACACAAAAGATATTAATCAGCACCAAAGCTGAACATGTAGAATTAATATATAAACAAAGTACATAGATTTGTGTAATAACACAGTGTATACACAAGGGGACAGGACTTTACTTCCTGTCAGATTTTACTGTTTTAGTTAGACTGCGGTATTTTTGTTATTCTGTTTTCTTAGTATTAAAATCGTTCAACTTAGAGGGTAGTTTGAAAAAATGTTAAAAACAGCACATAAATGCTATATTGTATGTTCAATAGAAATTGTAATAGCATGTATAAATGAACAGCTCTGGATGGTAGTTTATCCAACCAGACTTTTGGTCCAGCTACTTGTTGATACCAGTGCATCCACCTCAGCACAATAAACAACTGGGAAATTCTCTATTTATTAAAATAATGTCATTGTGTTTCAACTCTTTTAAAGTGGCTCATTATGCTCCCTACAAATCTATTCATGTAGTACACATTCTTGACTTGTGACATTTACCATGTTTTCTTTCAAATGTGGTCCTAGTTGATGTATTTTGTACATTTACAATCTTTCCTGCCTCTGATAATATATAATAAGTGTTAAGGTTCACATATTGAGGAAGGAGAGTACAAACAACCATTGGTCCAGAAGATCTTGGTCAAACAATTGATTTTAATGAATACACGCGTGGCAAGACCAGTCTATATTAAAAAAACAAAAACAAAACGTATACAAGCATGAGACAAATGCCCAACAGAACGGGTTTTTCTGTGATGCCTAACAGTTCTCCCGGTGTTAGCTAGTTAACAGGACTGGCCTCATCATCTGTGCTAACACAGTATTCTCCTTCTGTCTGAAATAAAAGTTTGACACTTACTGTGAAACCTGGAAGTGCTAAAACTTTTTGACTGTTACAAATACACCATCCAGATACTTATGGAGCACTCCACATACCTGTGCTCAGTGTTGGGAAGGTTACTTTTAAAATGTATTCCATTACAGATTACAGAATACATGCCCCAAAATGTATTCTGTAACGTATTCTGTTACGTTACTCTCATAGAGTAACGTATTCTGAATACTTTGGATTACTTAATATATGCTGTTTACAACTACGTGAATGTATTATTGCTGTGATTTATTACGGTTACTGATGGTCCGCGGCTCCGAACCGTAGTAAAGGGACCTCTGGCTAATACAGTGGGTTCCGTGTCGGGCTCGTAGCCGAAAACTAGCTTTACTTTGTTGTCTGGGTCAACTTTGCTAGCCAGAGACAGAGAGAGGCGTTGAAAGGCTGCTGCAACGGAACTTATTGTTTCGGAGGAAAACACGAACACAGTGTACAGTCGAGTCTTAATAGCTTACTTACAACTGAGCTCGTCAGGCACTCTTCTTGGCTGCAGTGGTTATTATTATATTTACATGCTTCCAGCTCCCGTTTTTGCTTGATGACAACTCATACTTTTCCTTTTTCTCCCTCCCTCGCTCACAGACACATAACGTGTATGGCAGTCCATTCTCCCTGCAGCACTGACTACACTGCCCATGATGCTACATTCTTTAGAGCTATACCTGTAGCATTCTGCCTATTAGCTTAGCACAACAACAACAAAAAGGCGCTCTCTCACCCAGGAAACACGCAGAGAGAGCGTCACCCTGTAACCGTGGCAACCGTAACGCTGCCGCCTGGAACAACAGAACATAGCTGTCAAACAAAACCCAAACAGTCCTGACCCGCCACATTATGAAACAGGAAAATACCGCCGTGTAATCCATTTATGTCAACAAAGTAACTGTATTCTAAATACCACCTTTTTAAAACGGTAACTGTAACGGAATACAGTTACTCATATTTTGTATTTTAAATACGTAACGGCGGTACGTGTATTCCGTTACTCCCCAACACTGCCTGTGCTTGAGAGTTTGAATGCACTTATTCACCCACAATGATCACCATGGAAAGGGTGGGACCATACAACAGCTGACCTGAAGACAATATATTTATTGTCAGGAGTGATGGTAATGAAACTTCTAGCAATCTAGTTGTCAGCTACACTGACATAATAGGCAACGAGTCCTATTATTTATAAATGTTAAACTATAATTTTCAGTGTAATTTTTTTAATGTGTGTTCAAAAGCTCTACAAAATGTATATGTCATAATTCAGACACTACATAGAAGTGTGCAAATGCAAATGTTGGCTCACTGCAATGTGTGGTACACAGTATACCCACCTTGTCAGGGAAGTTTACTTGCTGAATATTCATGGCATTCAAGAATTTCTTCTACATTTTTTATTTCAGGGAATTCATGAATCTGAATGATTTTAATATAAGTAAATAAAACAACTAAAATAGCACAATTTTGATAAGATGGTGCCCCTGACAACTGTGTCAACACCTACACATTCTGACAATGATTCAGCCAACATTGACACAGCTATTTATTATATTTCATTTTGCTGTAACATTTCTGGGGAAATTTGCCTACAAATTAGAGCAGGAAATGATGTTAATGATACCCATGACACCTTACAGAGAGTTTAGTGTGAAACTGACTTGGAACACACACAATTTAATGGGGTATGGGCTGATAATCCAAAAAAACCCCAGCATCCTTATTACTCTGAAGAAATCCAAGAACACACTGTCAAGAACACTTCTAAATCTTCACAGTGATGTCTGTGGATTATCCAGAGTAAAAGTTACGCTGTCTGCTTGTGCAAAAACAATTTTTTTTTTTTACATTTGAGGAGCACAAATGGAATGGACTACATAAACATGTTTCTAAATTTCTGGGAAAGAAATCCAGACCTCCCTGTATGGACTGGGATTAATTTGAACACACCTGTTTTGGCAAATTTAACTTTAGCTGTCTATTTCCTTCTTACAGCTTTCTATTAAACAGCTGGATCTAACCAGACATGTGTACTGTCAATTAAATCAAATTATTTTTTACAGAATTCACCTGCTTGCTGCATACAAATCTACTACTGCACATTCACCTAATGTATATAATATATAATGTTGTTCTTCTCGCCCCCTTTTGTACAAGTCGAGGAGCGTATCAGGTTACATTTCACTGCGTGTTATACTTGTATAACTATGCATGTGACGAATAAAGAATCTTGAATTATGAGCAGTGTGCTCATAACTTCATAACTTGAGACTGGAAATATTCATTTGTACCTCTGATGATTTAATTGAATTTCTGAACTTTCTGTGTGACTAATGAACAGCTGAAGAAAAAAAAGGCATAGATCTTTATAAATGCTACTATGGTGTTTTGAACATGTTACATCATTGAAAGATCTTATGGTGGTGCTAATTTCCAACTTGTGGCTGATATCCAACTGTTTGCTCTTCTGGACTTGTGAATTGTTTCAGAATTCTGACAATTTTGAAAGCAAAGTAAAAGAGGCAAAGATTCATTACACTGTAACTGAGAACCAAAATGCCAAAAAACATCTTCTTTTGTATGATGAGGAAACTGTAACCCTCCTAAAAGGGAACCATAAAACTAAGGTAATAGCATGTTGGGGCATTTTGGCACTGCTAATTCTTATACTTCTGCTTTTTGGAAATGGACAGTACAATTGGATGGAAACCCAGCTACTTGCAGACAGACAGTGGTATCAGTCAGTTTCTTCAGGGATGATCATTAGCGTAACATCCCCATCCTTTCTCCTCACCAAAACAAAGACTGAGGTGCTGTGCTTGACGGCATCGCTCACTTCCTGAGTGGTGTGGACAGGGTGTCCATTGATGCCAATGATGACGTCATGATCAGTCATACCTCCCCTGCAGAGATATCAAAACCATACCATCAATCACAAGCTGAAAAGGTGTCAAACTCTAAGGAAAACACCAGTAACTTTCACACAAGACAAGCCTGCTCCTGTGTCAGCCCCCCCCAAAACCCCGCTGATTGTAAATCTCTTCACTGGCAGATATTTGCATGTTAGGTATGTACATTTGCTGATCGTCTTGCTGTTGGCAGGATGACAGTAGGTTAGTAGGTTACTAGACTGGCAATCCAAGTTGTCACTGTGAATTGACAGGCTGTGCTGTAATGCTTGGATGTTAGTCAACTGCTGTGTTCTGTGCAAAGTATAAGGCTTCAATGTCATGGGAGGACAATTAAGAATATAGTCTAAAGAAAGAGAGAAGGATTCTGTCTTCCATAAAAAAGATGTCAGCATTGCCTTTGGGAAGTGCAAGAATAATGAGTTTAATCTAAAGCCTTGAGAACTGCAAGAAATTTCTTAATCCACCCAGAAAGGCCTCCAAATGCCAGTTCACAGCAGATATTGTTACACTCTGTAAACCAGTACCAAAACAAGTCCCAACTGTGCAGTTTTGCAATAAAAATAAGAAAATAAATGAAGCCCACAGCTGTGGTATCCAACTTTGAAAAGATTTAATCTGTAAAACAGTGTAGCATTTAGGATAACAATAGGAACGTGTCTACAATAATCTCTACAATGTAGACTTAAAATACAGCAAACAAAACCCATAACATTAAAGCTGCACTGGATATTATATTGAAGAAGCAATGCCTTTCCTGTGTAGTTTATAATGGGAAAGTTACACTCAAATGAATCCCCAGGAAATGTATCACTCAACTCTAAAGACTATGTTAGTATCTTTTAGTAAACTTAGCACAATAGTGAGTAAGAAAACTATCACCTGTGATGAATCATAACACAATATGATAATCAAACTTCTGATAATCAAAGATAATCAGAAGTCATCGAAGTGGATGTGTGTGCATGCATACAAAAAAAGACCTGTTGGCTGAAAAATAGCCATCAACAAGATTCTGGAATAAGTATGGTTATATATGTGACTATTTTTCTCTTCAGAATTGGTAGAGTTCATTTCAATCTGTTGGTTTTCTGGCACAGACCCAGTTTTTAAGCATAGTCCACAATTTTTTTTTGTCAGGTTGGAGCTGGGTCTAATGTTAGCCTGCTTTATCCATGGATGTGTGTTTGAGAGCACTGACAAGTCAAAACACTGAATTGTGTCCAAGTGTTAACTGTCAAACTATTGATTTAAGGTGAATCTGAAGAACTTTGATTTATTAAATATTCCACCTACTCTGTGCAATGTTCCAGTGTATGCAGCAGATACAGTGGAAGCTTAGCTGCACTGTACTGGCAGCTAAACAGCAATGTTCTCAAGTTTGAAAGCCCATGATCACCAACGGATTTCGAAGGGCTGGACTGCTGCATGATGGAGAGGAGGACACCGCCACGGCCCTTCAGAGGGTGTTCAACTCTGACACTGACAACGAGGATTTGTTTGGTTTTGTAAGTGACAACGAAGGAAAGAAGCTGAGAGTGGATGACGTAGCCATCCTGAGCCTGTTCGTATCCGACACTGGAGAAGAGGACTTTGGTGGTTTTAGTGCGCAGGAAGAAGAGAAAGATGGTGAATGACTGACTTTTCTTCTTGTTAAAGCCGTGTCACTGCACCTGAGCCTAAAAGGTAGTCTGAATCTATTTTTCTGGTGTGCTGTAGGTTATTGTTATGTACTACATTTGTTACTCATTTATGAAGCACAGTACATGTTTCGTACTTGTAATTACCGCTACTTGTACATATACCTAAAAAGTTATGCAAATATGTACCCATAACTTGTTTTTCAAAATATTAATAAAAGTGTGTCTCCAAACAGCCATCTCTTTCCTGACAATTCCCTTTGTGCATATTCTCTTACATATGATAAGTCAACATTGAAACACCTGCGGCTTTTGGTCAGGTGCGGCTAATGTATGTACAAAACAGGATTTTCCCCTGATTTTAGCTTGTGCGGCTAATATTCAGGTGCGCTTTGTAGTCCGGGAAATACGGTATATACTTTTCTAACTTATTATAATCATTTTTTTCCAAGGTGGAATGATTGTACAGCATACATCTTGAAAGACTTGAAAACAAGAACTGGGTGCATAACTTCCATGCCCAGGTTTTAGCATTAAAGTACATACTTGTTGATATTTTTTCTTTGACATAATGATCTGAGATCTTTTATAAGGAATCATAAGAGTTTCAGAGTGAGACACAGAGCATTGTCAAGTTGACACACTTTGGGAGGAGAAAGAAGAGAGAGGGTGCTGCTATTTGGGCCTGACATCACTCCGAACAGCATTCCTGATGTGATGTTTACAATATGATAATTGCCCTCAATATCAGGGGATAGCAGGAAATACCCACAGATCAGAGATATGCATGAATCTCTGGGGTGTCAGAGATGGAAGCCATAACATTTTTGAAGCACTGAAAGCACTAATGGCTCTAAAACAAGTGTGTGTCCAAGGCAGCGCCATCTTTTGCCCCATATTTGTCACATAAGCAACACGAGGCAACTGCTTCTCCACTATTCTCACATCGCCTTTTTGTGCTGGAAGTTCTTTAGATGTTTGGCTACCACCAGATTAGCCTGCTTTGCAACCCAGCAGCTGGAGTCTCTGTTTTTTTAAATGTAGATTGTCAGACCTACACTAAACAACAATGGAAGCTAACAGGTGCAGGTGTTAAGTTGAATATGCTGCATGGATCCTTGACTATGATCTTACTATTAGGGCAGGTTGGTCAGGCAGAAATCTGACGCTTTTCAGAAAATATCCAGAGCTTGATCTCCGGATGCCAAGTTCTAATAGTACATTTCTGCCCCCTACCTATTAATTTTCAAGCTACATGAAATCTCAGTTTTTCACAAAAGAATAAATGTATTGCAGCACAATTCTTACCTGGATGCAGCTGTTCCAGGTATTACCTCATAGATGTAAACACCTGAGCTCACATCTGGAAATTCTGGCTCACGTTCCTTGAGATCTCGGATTAAACTGGACAATCACACAACATCAGAGAAACAGGTTGGTTGAAATTTGTTTCATATCTCATCAAACATCTACATTTTATTTTGAAATGACAAAAGTAATTATAGTTTTATGCAGTATTAAATACATGCCTATATATTTCAAAAGGGCAATAAGTAGTACAAAAGGTGTAGTTCAGCTAAACCTCTGAGTGGTAGTACTACTGAAATTGAGTGTGCAAGACAACATTACAGGAACACCAGATAAGAAATTTGTGTTTGTTTTTTTTTAATAAAATTGGTCAAAACCATGCATCTATCTTTTTACTTTTATCTGGTTATTTTACTGTTTCTTCATATCTTTGATATCTATATTGTGATATTTACTGATCGATAGGTAATGGTAACTGCACATGCTACCTTTTTTTAAACTATAATTACTATGAAGATGCTCCTTGCTAATTGGCCACTTATTTGATAATATAGACATTTGATATAATATTTGTGATTTTCAAAGTAAAAAAAAGGAACTTTTTCCTACTCAAGAGTTTTTTTGTGTGATTTTAGATCCGTATGACAAAATGAAAACAAACTGTAAATTCATACATGTGAAGTTGTGCTGAAAAGAATGATGTCAAACAAGGCAACGTAAATAGTCTTCAAAGGTGAAATATAAAGATAAAATCAAAAGTAGTCAAAAACAGCCAATTATACCCTCCAGAGGCTTAAAGATATGCTATCCACAAATAGAAGCAGGTTGTTACTTCAGCATTTTACATGAATCTGCACTTTTGTAGTCAGAGTCTGCTGGCCATTTAAAAAAAACAGGAAGGTTTAAGGCACTGGTACTAGCTTCATTTAAAATGCAGGACAATTTAGGAAAAATTAATTTTCCTTTACTTACGATGGTGTGAGTTGTACCATCCGGACACCTATGAATTTCTTTTTTGGTAGTGAATTTCCTGAGGGGAAATAAACACATATATATGACTTTATCACGGAATAAATGTTATCATGAATTGAATTCCTGGGTGCTGTGACAAAAACATACGATTCTGCTCACTGCTGGCTTGTCTGTTGTAGGAGTTGGCAAGAAACTGACGTATTCTGTCCACAGGGATGGCAAAAGAAATTCCAGCAGCCACTTTCAGAGTATTTATGCCTATTACATCTCCATCCTGTTAAAAGCACAAAATAGAGGGGCAGCTGTGTCTGTGGTCTTCATTGATTTCACAGTTTTGCCTCATGTAGAGAAAGAAACAGCAGTACTATGTCCTTTTCTTCCACTGCACATAACACAACTCAGTATCTATTAAGTGTTCTTTTTACCCACAATGCAAATCATCAGTCTTGGTTATTGTCATAACTTATCTGTGTTTTCACAGCAAAGGACAATTAAAAAAATGCATGCTCGGTATGGCAACTATTCTCCTTTAGAAAAAAGCTGCAATTTTCGGGAAGGCAGGCTGGAGGCAGCAACCTTGATAAATGAATATACAATCTGTATCATTTTATTCCATAGTAACAATGCAAAGACCTCCATAATCGGGTCTTGTCCTAAAATATTTTGTGGAAGGCTTAATTTTGAACCTGAGGGAGTAGAGTGAAGATACTGGGTATTAAATAAAACAATATCATGACCTTAGTCCACACAGTCATAAATAAAACAAGAAAATCGCCTACATAGCAGCAAGCATAACAAACATGCAAATGGCCTGGTCTTATCTCTTTACACGTGACAGCATTATAAATCCTCTTACCAAGTTGACAAGCGGTCCACCGGAGTTTCCATACTATGAATAATACAAAAAAACAAAAACATTTTCTTACCCATTGTTCATTAAGAATAAAAACAAATAAAGGCAGTTAAAATGAAAGGCATCAATAGGTTTATAATGCTTATTCACTCACATTTATAATGGCATCAGTTTGGATGTAGTCCATGTCAGAGTCCTTAAAGCCCAGCTCTAGGCTGTTGCGATTGGCAGTGCTGACAATGCCAGTGGTGACAGTGTTCTGCAGAGAGAAAGGGCTTCCTACTGCCACCACAAATTCACCTGGACGCAGGTCTGAGGACTGGCTGAGACGCAGCACGGGCAAGGGACCCTGTGAGTGAGCCACAAAGAGACATGAAAGGACCGGCCTAAGGACCACCTTGAACTTAAAAGGCTGGGGAGCCATATACAGGCACTGTCATAGCAGAGGGGTTTGATCCAAACAGAGGGTGAAAGGGCAGTCCAGGAGGGTAACAGCTTAAAAGAGGGGTGGGGGAACTCCAGGCCTCGAGGGCCGGTGTCCTGCAGGTTTTAGATGTGTCCTTGATCCGACATAGCTGATTTAAATGGCTAAATTAGCTCCTCGACATGTCTTAAAGTTCTCCAGAGGCCTGGTAATGAACTAATCATTTGATTCAGGTGTGCTGACCTAGGGTGAGATCTAAAACATGGTTCGAATCCTATCTCTGGCTTTTCTGTTTGGAATTTGCATCTTCTCCCTGTGTGGGTTTCTTCTGGGTGATCCAGCTTCCTCTCAAAGTCAAGAGAGAGGTTAATTGGCCATGGATGAAAGGTGAATAAATTGCTGTATGAATATCTAGAGACTGGGCTATGATTGGGAGAAATAACCTGCATAATGTGAACTCGAGTGGTGTTTTGTGATTGGACTTCTGTGCTAACCACATATTTTGGGCATAAGTGTCATTAGTGCATATTGCACCAGGACAGCCTGGGTCACAGGTCGATCATTTTTGTAATTCTACAGGGTGGGCCATTTATATGGATACACCATAATAACATGGGAATGGTTGGTGATATTAAAGTCCTGTTTGTGGCACATAAGTATATGTCAGGGGAGTTGTGAAAGTTTTCCATTTAAATAAAGCCTACAGACGAGCGGTGAGCGGTAGCTAACATTCTTTAAAATCCAAACACACAAAAAACAGACAACCAAGCTTGTGGAGAGCCTGCATGACCGCGGGGCAGACGGTCAGCAGAGTCTCACCGAGCCTAGCATTGCTCTCAGTTAAATACCTTCTTCAGGAACAAAAGGCAGTACACAGCTGTTTCACACCTTACGGTTCACACTCCCTTGCTACCTCCCAGAGTCCTCGAAGAGACAAAAGACTCTTCCTGTGGAGTGGTCTGCTTCCCCCAACTTCCTTACTACACCCCCACCATTTGTCTTATAGTGTGAGTGTGGAACATGTTTAAATCCAGTGGCACCAAGGCATTATAAAATAAAATAATGTGATTAATACATAAATAAAAGAAATTCCTATACAGGGGGCAAACTCCTCAAGATGGGTGGTGACCATGGTGGCCGTTTAGAAGTCGGCCATCTTGGATACAACTTGTGTTTTTTCAACAGGAAGAGGGCCATGTGACACATCAAACTTATTGGTAATGTCACAAGAAAAACAATGGTATGCTTGGTTTCAATGTAACATTATTCTTTCATGAGTTATTTACAAGTTTCTGACCACTTATAAAATGTGTTCAATGTACTGCCCATTGTGTTGGATTGTCAATGCAACCCTCTTCTCCCACTCTTCACACACTGATAGCAACACCGCTATATCGTTTATTATTTAGTATCTACTGTTATCTACTGCTAGCTAGTTTATTGTGATGGTGCTGTTTTTTTATTATGTTGTTCTTTTTTTTGTTTGCTTTCTCATCTGTTTTTTTTCTCCATACAGGTGATCCAGGTGTTTTGTTTGTTTTTCTTTCTTTCTTCCCCCCTTTCTCACCGTCTCTTCTCCCCTTTGGTTTTCTTTCTCTCCCTCTCTTTCTTTCATTCTTTCTCCTTGTCCTATCCCCCAGTCATGTCTGTCCCGTTTGTAGCAACCGAAAATAAAATCAATTCATAATTATAATAAAGGTCAATCAAATGGACCAATATGGCAAGGCCATGATGATCCACTTGGTAAAATAAATCCACTTGGCATCTTTCTTGGCCTTAAGACAACTATTCTGATGGCTAAAGATCCAAACGGGACACACACACACACAAAAAAGGACTGTTTGGAAGTGAGAACTTGGTTGCATTGACGACAATGAGTTGGACTTGTTTCTAGTGGCTGTTGGACTTTGCTGGGGCTGCCCTTTGACACAAATTCTGTTTGTAACTTTTATAGACAGAATTTGTAGGTGGATTTTGTCTCTGCTTTTTGTGTTTATGTTGGCTTTACCAGGTGGTGGCCTCCAGCTTGCAGTGGAACAGTTCATTGCTGAGAAGTAGCAGGAATGAGAATCAGCACCTCCGAGCAGGAGTTTAAGTATGGGTCCGGCAAGAAACCGTGAAGGAGACACAGCAAATGGACCATGGCAGATTCTAATGCTAGCTTCTGCAATAGCCTCAGAAGATATGAGTTGCCCACTAAACCTGAGATAAACCAGTAATAAAACTGTTATACTTTTTTGCAAGGTTTCCATTGGTGAAACAATCCTTCCTCTGTGAAATTCAACTCATTCAGAGACCAGCTGTTTATGGTCTCTCAAAACTAGTCCTGCAAGCAAAAATCATGTTGCTGAATTTTAGAAAATCTTCCACTGCATAACTTGTTCCAGTCACTCACTTGTTCAAACATTATTATTAGCAGTTTTTTTCTTTTTCTGTTGAGATTTCTGTTGATGTTGATGAAGGTTAACTGTCACTGGTTGGAAAAGGTTGCCAAAGCCCTACGGTGGAAATGAGTGTTTAAAGTGCATTTTTTAATACAAAAACATTTAGTTGTACACCAAACGAAAAAAATGCTTCAGCTTGACTCTGCCTGGTTCCTCCTTTGCCAGGCTCACGCCATTTATCTCTAGTGGGAATTGTAATGCTTAATTTAATTTATAGCTGCACCTCCCGGGGTATGGGCTCTTATGTCACAACAAATATGCCTTTTAGGCAAGCTTTAGAACCCCTTATGCAAAGAATGTATCACAGAGTGTTAAAGCATTGTACAACTGTCACCACTCCCAGGTTTTTAAAAAGAGAAAACTCCTTCAGCTTTGAAGCAGTTAAATCCAGTGATGCTTCTGGTTAACTTCTGCTGATCTTGAGGTGTTCCTGTATTCAGATCAGCCCTAAAGATGTTAATAATGTGCTTCACACTGAGTGCCGTCTGACTGAAGTGGTTGGGAATAGAGCACCTGCTACCATACAAAGCAGCCAGTTCTGTATGAGCAAGTCTAAGTTGGAACATGTTTTATTCAAAACCGCTCTTGTAAGTATACACACAAAAAATAGCTGGGGCTTTGAATTCATGATACATGAACAAATAGCACCCCAAAGGAATTCAGTCTGCAAATTGGCCATGTTAAGGAACAGAGTCTAATTTTGGTAGGCAAAGGCCCTTGATGACTCTCTCCCTGGATTTCTCACTGCTTTGTGTGCAGGATTAATACACTTTGATGTTAGCCTCTGATGACAAGCTACTCAGCAAGAGGAAACGCACCACTGATTTTGCCTTAAACCCTTGGGGAGCCCCACAAAAACAGCAGGACACTCACATCTGGATCGATTTTGATGAGAGCGATGTCCATCTTCTGATCCACATCCCTGACCGCAGCTTCATAATGTACGCCACTTTTCAACTCAACTTTTATCCTCTGTTTGTTGGTAAGCACGTGAGCATTTGTGACAATCCAGCCATCCTCTGACACTATAAACCCAGAGCCACTCGACACAGAGACCTCCTCACTGGAAAATGGCACTCTGGCAGTAAAAAAAGATTAATAGCAAAGGTCATTTTGCATCCAAAAGAGCATTTTGAAATGCTACTTCATTTTTCTGCTTTGGTTTGGTTTACCTTTGAAAAAGCTCCAGGTGTACCACAGCTGGGACAATCTTATCCACCACATCTGCAATGAAGTTAAACTTGTAGCGTATACTTCCCGGATGCTGTGCCCCTTTTAGTATAAAAGAAAAGGCATAAAAGTTTTCAAAAACATTTCTTTAATAGAAAAATGAAATCTTAAAACTTAAACAGACTTTATTTCCAAAACAGTCATGTATCGTTTAAAAGAAAGTGGGGCTGTAAAAAGACTCATACAAAGAGCTGGAAGCAACAAACATCTTCAGCTTCTGTTAATGTTTGGTCGAACCTAGTTATTACTAGGTTCAGTTCATTACTGGCTTGTCTTATTAATGAAGCCTTTTATAGATTTTTCATTTGAGCAGTAAAGCTTTTTTATGAGTATTATTTTTAGGGTTTTGTCATTTTAGAGAGGTCTTAACTAGATCGAATGCAGTCATTTACTTGTTATTAAGTTGACTGCACTTTTGCTGCCATTAGAGAAGCCAAGATGGGAGAAAAGGTCATTATCTGCCCTGCAGTTGTTTTGCTGTTTCCGTGTTTCCTGGCCCTCCGCCAGAACACCTACACCTGTATGCACTAGTTTACTCAGTCTCCTATTCAGAATTCAAACATTTATATCAACACTTTGCTTTGCGTGTCTCTGAATCTGTGTATCATGTGACATGAAGATAATAGTTTCATTTACAATTCTTTCCTTATCAGACTTACAGAATACTTATCAGGCAAGTACTGGCACATTATTACTCCACTTGCTTACTGCAAACACAAACATCTTCATTGGTTTATACAAAAGCACGCACAATACCCACCCATATGTTTTTGCTAGTATAGATTAGAAGCTTCCTATTAATCTGACATGAAATAAGTCTGATGCTTGAGTGCTCATGAAAGGAAATAGAATTTACCCTGCTTTGGAAAACAGTATTTTCCTCACTTGGGGGCAATATCTCCCAAGTTCTCCTTAGCTCGGTAAACAAACTTGTTGGTCTGAAGCTGCCAGGTTCTTGAGCTGACGCCGTGTTCGTTTGCACAAACAAACTTGTCTGTGCAGAAATGGTCTTAAATGCAAATGACAGTCTGTGTTTTTGCCAAAAGCTACTTTGGCAAAATGCCAACTATTTCTGCCTCTGAAAGCTCTTCAAATCAAGAGTGAGCTCTGCATTGACAGGATAAATTTGTAGCTTTCAGTATCCTCTCAATTACACAAATGACACACAGCATTGCCAGCTTGCATGTCCCTCCATCTTCCATCAAATGAATACAGCGTTTGATGCTAATCTGCTATTAAATTTTCATATTGTCATCACACATTAAATTCAACATTTCTATTAAGAATTTATACCGTAAATTATGTTTGTTAAACTTTTTGGGGCCTTTTTATGGATTTGTTTTTGATAGGGATGGTGAAGGCTAACAGGAAAGCGGCGCAAAGACATGGGGGGTCGGACTCGAACCAGCTGCTCTCAGCCGTGCGGCATATGGTCTCCTGCTCATCCCAGTGAGCTAAACCAGCGCCCAGTAAATTATATTTTGTTTTGTTTTCAGCAGGAATTGTTCTTAGGCACTTCAAAAAAGTTGTAAAGTGAAAATTACATGCATTACCTGATGAATAGGGCTGTGTGATATAACCAGAATCTCATATCCCGATGAAAGACATTTCTCATCCCAACAACTATGTATATGGCAAAATAGTGCTTTTTCTGTAAATTCTGCCACTCTCGGGCAGCTCAACTTGTGTGAAGTGTTTTCAGCTGGACATTGTGTACCTAGAGTCGAGTGTTTTGACCGATGCATGAAACTATGCATTGTTAAATATAAGTTGTAACTTCCGCAGTTTTCTTTTTGAGTATTTATTACATGGTGTGCTGCGGGAAAAAGCCTGTTCTAATGTTTGAGTGTAAGGTTTATTTTGAGCACCTGACGGCTCTTCTTTTGCGTCTCATCCGTAAACTCTCTCCATACTCTTTCATGTGATTTTTGCGTATGTGGTAGAAGAGGTTTGTCATGTTTGACTCTGCGGTGGGGACTAGTTTAGGAATAAGGTCCTTGATTTGTTTTGACTGCTCCTTCTGTTTGGAGCTACCTGTTTCTGCCTCATCTTTAATGGCTATGCTGGTATTCTCTGTGCCTGCATCCATGTGATGACCATCCAAACAATGAAAAAAATTAAATAAACAGTGTATCCAATATATTTCATCATATCGCGCAGCCCTACTGATGAAGTAGTTTAACCTTTTGTTAGACCTGAAATATACTAATGAAAATGAAAACAATGTAAATTTAAAATAGCTTCCATCTAGAAATTTGAATCCATAGTGTTGGGGCCATTATGCTGGCATAGTTTTACAAGATTGCAGCAAATCACTGCAAAGACCTCATCCGTCACTCACATGCTATGACCTAAGCAATTACAAATCTCAACCCAACTGAATGATGTTTTAGATGGCACTCTCTATTGTAGTCATTATCAGCAAAACATCAAATGACAAAGTAGCTTGAAGGGATGTGATTCCATCCTCCAGTTTCAGTCATGTTTTATTCATGTAACTTAAGGTGCTTTATAAGCTACTGAAGATATGCTCCTCTGTAAATAACGCCCATATTACCTGGTATTCTGCACACAGCCAGTAAGGAACACAAATAGTTCAAGAGTCAACTGAGCACTTTCTGTTTAGTTTATGCTCTTTCTCTCTCTCTCACATACACACACACAATCTTCATCTTGTATCAACAGAAATAGCAGCCGTAAATATCCCAACATTTCTCGCCTGTCTGTTTCCTGATCACCTTGTTTACAGCAGAGGAAGGTGATGAAATGTAACGACAGGACTCCCGACATACACACTGTTATCTGCAAGTCATAGGGCAGCACTGTCCTCATTTTATCTTATGTAGACTGCTAGCAGTGAGGTTATCAGCAATTTCTGATATAAACTTTAAATTCACTTCACATTTTACTTTACCCAAGTGCTAGTTACTATCAGAATATTCAATTTAATATATTAGCTAAATCCTAGTACTAGTCCCTAATCTGTGCTTATGATCAAGTGGCATATTTGGCATTTTATATTAATGATTAGAGCAAAAGAGAAGGCATAGACTGTATAGAAAAGATGGATGTACAATTGACTTAAACCTGCTTTCTTTATAATGGCCAGTAGGGGGCCACATTTGTTGTTGCAAAAAAACCTTGCAGAAAATTCTTCAACTAGTAGTTTCAATTCTTATTAAATACAAAATTAATTACATTCATTTGATAATGTTGTCATCAACGTCATGTGCCACCTATAGGTTGTATTAATGGGACTTATAGGCAGCACGGAGGTGCAGTAGTTAGCAATGTCACTTCCCAAAAAGAGAAGCTCCACCAATCAGTGGAATTACTGACTCTAAGAGATATTGTGAGGCTGACGATTCCTTCTTGGAACGGTTATGCCCAGGACCTAGTAGCTGTATGACCTTTCTGCGTGGAGTTTGGATGTTCTCCCTGAGCCTGAGACTCTCCACAGGTTGTCTAGCCTCCTCCCACAGTCCAAACACATACAATGTAATGTTAGTCAGTGAGTCTAAAGTGACAACTGGTTAGCCATTTATGTGATATTTGGTTAAAATCTGGTGCAAAGGTCACAGAACTCTTGGACTGAAAACTTGGACTGTCTTCAAAGATTTCTCTGAGACTAAATGAACTCGTACATCTGATGAAGACTGTGGATATATGGCAATGAAAGGGGATTCAGTATGTGGAAGACTGTTATGAAAATGGACATTTTGTGTCCTTTGAACAATTGAAGAGCAAATGCAATCTCCCCAACAAGCATTGTGATCTTTTTTAGAGCAAGCACAGGCCCTCAAATTGCTATCCGATTGTTCAGTCTGACGTCACTAGCCGTGTCTGGGTCTAAACTCTGCTGCAGGTCCATATATCAAACAATCACTATGGCATTACTGAGAGTTGAAAAACTGTCTAAAGTCTTTCATCTTTAATAAAATGATCAGCGTTCTGCTCTACCAGGTGTAACAATTGAGTTTAACATCCAGGCATCCATGAAAACGGAATTTATGACTTTTAACGGAGTTAGAAGTTAGCAGGGAGTTAGCTCGCTAGCTTCTATCTAAATACAATATAGCATGTCCTGACTGCGGGGTTTTGGAAACAAATTAAAACATACAGCTCTGTTATCACTTCCAGCATAAATGAAGACAGAAAACTAAACAGCAGTGACGTTTGTAGGGTTACTGAAGTTGGGCTAGCTGGTATATAATGATGTGCTACGTGACCGCTAGCGACACAGCTATGTTACCATAATATAAACAAGCTAACTTTTTTTCCACTCGATAAAAGTTAACGTGAGTGTTGTCGATGGTCAGGAAGAAATGTAATCGCATGGCAGGATGCTGTAAAAGGACCAAACTTCAGCCAGGAGAACAACTGAGATAATCCATCCACAATACGAGGTTAGTTATTCATATACTGCTGCATGGGCTGGGCTGTAGTTACATCCTAAGGTTTTAAAAACTGAGCTTAAATAAATGATTAGTGGTAAAAAAAGCCAAGGGAGGTCAACAGGGATCACTGACTGTTTTAGGAGCTTTTTGAGATCAAATAGAAGAAAATACATAACATTAAACATGTTAACAACACAAAAGCCATATTAAACGCAGACTACTTTAGACCCGGAAGTAGGATTCGTCGCGTCATCACTGAACAATCGGATAACTGATGCAGAGACTTGTTCATCACAATACAGGGCAAAATGTATTTCTAAAGCATGATCTGTGTTACAGAATCAGAGTCCAAAGCCAGCTTTGCAAAAATCAAGAGTGAATATATATACTTATGAACACTTCAGGACAGATTTATGCTATAATAGTTTGTCAGCTACAGTTAATTCCAAATGCAGACTTGCCTTTATCAGCTCACCTCACTCCACAGAAATTACATAAATCCAAACCTAAATTTTCAGATATGTATTTTAAGTGTGGTTGACAAGCTACATTAGTCTGTTTTGTATTGGAGCATTCTGGAGAGTCTAAATAAAGATTTTAATAAGATAAACGGTAGCTTAAGGCTAGATCAGTCCTGATGCTGGAAATATAACAACAGAAGTCATCCAGTGTGCTAACATATACATGTTTACATTGCGTAAGAATCATATTATTTTGAATAAATATAAATAACATGACGCTAAGCTTTGGCCAATGAATGTGAGCTAACAACAACAAGGTCGCGGGTATGGCTGCGACCGTAGGATAGGAAAAAACCCTAATATGAAGGTATTTTACTGTGCATTTTACAGTAATGTTCTGTTCTTCTAGAATATCATTAAAGTTACGTAAATAGACTTTGACTTCACATTTTGAATGTAAATTAACATTAAATCACTGTAATGTAATACAACATAATTGTCTTGATTATTACGGTAAATGTATCTGTCTGTACATATGCATATTTAGATTGTTAAAATACATTCACAAATGTATCATGATTTCACAAATATCTGTCCGTTATTTGAAAGATTGAACTGTTGAATTCAAATGTAATGCTATGGAAAAGTATATAACATGATCCCTATGAGCTTGTGTTACATCACATAAGTATTATTATCGTTGCTAGTTAGGTCGTTCGTGGCTCAAGAGTTGGCACTTCGCCTTGTGATCCGAAGATTGCCGGGGCGCGAACCGGATCGGACACTCTCCATCGTTGTGTCCGTGGTCAGAACTCTTCACCTACCGCCTACTAGTGATGGCCAAAGGGGCCGATTGTGCGATATGGCAGCCTCGCCTCTGTCCCAGGGCATGCAATCAATTGTTATTTAAATTAACTGTATATTTCTGTACATTTACGTATTATGATTCATATTGCCACATTCAGTGACCTTGTTTATAGGTTATTTCTTTGATTGATCATGTAAAAATGTTCCTAATTTAATGTCTAAAAGCACTTGGAAAAGGCAGAATCCCATGTCAAATTAGCGCAACAAACTCTATTTTCATTACTGAAAATGACCGTATTTTTATGGGACAGTTATTTTCTGTTATTTTACGGTCGCATTTTGGCACCCCAGCTGCCGGAATATTACCGGTTTTTTAAGATGTTTTTTTTCCCCTATTTATAGATAATTTCATTGTTTAATCACATTAACATGTTCCTGATTTAATGTTTAGCGGCACTTGAAAAAGGCGAGATCCCATGTTAAATTAGCGCAACTAATTGTATTTTCATTACTGGAAATAACCATATTTTTATGCGGGAGTTATTTTCTGTTATTTCATGGTCGTATTTTGGCGCCCCAGCTGCCGGAATATTACCGTTGTTTTAGGATGTTTTTTTTTAACAGTGATAGGGTAGTTGAGTCTTTGCAGTTTTGTTCCATGCTACTACTTACCTCATAAGACTTTGTTGTTACACTATTTACCTCATAAGACTTTGTTGTTACACTATCTCTTACCGTACATCACTAAATCTCCATTTGCACTATTTGCCTATTTGCACTACTCTGCCTGGTTTACACCCAATGTCATTTACCCATTATATTGTATATTGTATAGCTTTCTTGTTATGTAAAATTGTATTGTATTTATTTAAATTTTTACTTTTTAATTATTTTACCTGCATTTTTTAATCACTCTTATATTTAAATGTTCATTTGCTTTTTTATCTAGGGATTGAGAGTAACGTAGTTTCTATTCTCTGTATGTCCTGTACATGTGGCAGAATTGACAATAAAGTTGACTTGACTTGACTTGACTACGCACAAGACCTTTTGATGCAGGCAACTGCAAGCGACAAATAAAGGCATTCATTCATTCATTCATCTCTGCTTAGCATTTTGTTACATTTCATGATGCATGCTGGGGAAAACTGAGTGTCCCCATCTCCACTTCTTCCATTAAATAAATGGCAGATACCAGACACAAGAGTTTCCTCTGTTTAGGGTAAATCTAATTGGATGTGAATGGATTACTTTGTGCTGTGCAGCCTTCCTTTGTGATATATTCTGATTTATACCGTTCTACTCACATACCGCAGAGGAGGTCACATATCTATGAAGCCAGTATCTGAGCAAAGTGAAGGCTATATTTAATCCTTCTGACAGGGATATTCCCATCTCCTTTTTGCTATATTTTATATTTTACGGCCTCATCTACATTGTCAGTGCTAAGGGATTTGCATAAACCAGCTTGCATAGGCAAGCAGTTTGAGGTCTAATGCATGATGTATTCTCTCACCTCTTTGGAAGGCTGTGATAAAATGTGCAACTGAAAATGGATAGGACAGGAAGGGAAAATGAAGAGGATATATTTGGGTGGCAGTGTGGTGCTGGGTTTCTCTCAGGAGAACGAAAAGCCATCAGTGGAGAATTTGAGAATGCACTGTTTTATGTCACATGAATATGCAGAACATTATGAGGTTCCCTATATCAGCATATTTCAGGAAGACAACTTTTCCCAAGGTAGATGATTTTGAGTCCGACACATTCTGGGGAATGACTTATTAGCTTTATGAGTGAAATTAAAAAGCACAGGTGATGATGAGTAGCCACGAACCACAGAAATAGAAAAATCTGAGATTTACAGCAATCTTCAGCGTCACAGGAGCAGCAACAGACCAGCTGAGGCTTAACATTTGAATAAATCCAAGAAATGTGAATCCTATACCCCCCATAATGCAACAGCAGTCACTGCTTTTCTTTAGATGACTTTGCCAGATGTCTATTTAACGCTTGCTAAGAAGATACCACCCTCTCCCCCTAAATTTGGCTAAAAAGTGAAGGAAAATTGTTGCCTCCTCAACACCTCTGCAAACTCCTTTGACAATTTATGGATTAGAACTCAGAATCTTCTTGCTATGCAGCAGCAGTACTAACCATTGTGTCATCACTAGTATATGGGAACAGTATGTTTTGATTGTCCACGGGGCCATACAAATAATATCACCAGGCAACACACAATGAGAAGACCTACCATCCCAGGAGAGACAAGAGTTTTGTAGTTATGTAAGCATGTAAGTGGAACTCCCACATACATTTTCCCCAGAAATATTTATTAAATCACAGCATTTCTGTCTGTCTAACTAATTAGAAAAATTCTCAGCAGTAAGTGGGCATAATTTTATCCTCCAGTGCATTTGATCTGCCACTCATTTTTGAAAGTTCCAACTCCGAACCCAGTTTAAACTGATTTTAGCCCTGATGTTTATACAGTAGACCATTTTGACAACTGGTCAGCAGAAACTGGCTCAGTGGGTTACTGAACCATTTTCTGAGGTTGAGTCGTTAATTCGGGCTCCATCATTCTTTATGATCAACATGCTTGATTTGGCTAAGAATTTACACCAAATGCCCTTCCTAATACAACATTCCCCATTTACCCTGGCTTAGGACTGGCACTAGGAGTTCACTGGCTTGTTGCCCTCCTGTTCTTGGGTTTATCAGAAGATGGATACACTGTGGTCATAAATGGATGGTTGGTGGTAAGAGGCTTGTCCAGAAAATTTCACCAAAAACTCAACATGGTGCTAAACTGGGTGACATCACTGTATTAATCTTTTATACACAGTGTATAATAGCAGCAGAACTTGTGCATTGTCAGAAACACTGGTGTTAAGGAAAGATATGCTGTTCAACATCATTACCTTTTAAAAGTCTAGAGACCTCAACTGTGGACTTGTAAGAAAAGTCCCCAAGTTCATATGTGAAAACTGATTGCTATTACACAGCTATAGCATTGCTTATACTACTCTATTAACGCCACTGTATAATTTAGTTCATCTTTATCAAACTATTAATCCTTAATTAGCAGAAAAGTATAACATAAAGAGAAACAGAAGTACGAGGATGCATTTTTAATTTGGTTCATTATCGATTTTATGTAAAAAAAAAACCAAACAAAAAAAACAAAAAACCTTTGTGCAGCAGAAGTAGGTTACCCCCTTTGTTTAGAGGCTACGGTGTCATCACGCGTCAGGACATGCACTCTGGCTTCTCTGAAATCACTTATATGTTAATTTACCTGCTCCACAGAAAATGTTGTCATAAGATCATTCTTCAGTATTATTCACAGTTTTAACTTTAACAATTGCTTTTTCATATCAGTTATACACAGATCTCTTTTTAAAGAAAAAAGGAAAGAAAGAGGAAAACAACAAAGATGGGATATTAGACCAAAGCTAATATCCCACAGCTTACCAGAGTCACACCGACCTCTCTGGATTAAAAACACTGGGGAGGTCTCTCCGAGCTCGGCTCTCCTGTTCTCGGCTCTCAGGCGGCAGATGCTGGGGTACGTCCTGCCGTCGCTGCCACACACCGGGCCGGAGGAGGCACACACGCACAGGCTGTGCAACCCTCCGGCTTTCCCCGGGCCTGAGTCGCACCGCAGCCCGTTACCGCAGGACAGGTGGCCGCTGCTGCGCTTCCCGCACGCTTCACCTTCCCCGGCCGCACACACCACGCAGCAGCCGCAGGCGTCCTTTACCTGGCCGTAGTAACACGCGTGCGGTGGGGCAGGACACTGAGAGGTGGCACACACCTGTAGGCAGGTTTGTCTTTCTCTTAGCAGGCCTGTATGGACTGCAGAGAACACAAGCGTGAGGTAAGCGAGGCTCTTCATCGTGTGAAGAATCAGTTTGCAGCAGTCTCTGTGCTCTTAAAGAGGCTGCAGGTGTAATGCACCTAAACGGAGCTGGTCTTCTTACCGCCCCCAACACTGATGGCAGTGAGGTTCGAGTTGCAGCATGTTGCTCCTGGCTTCTACTTCGTATTGCTGCATGCTGTATCACATTAAAGGACAATGGAATGCAGCTGCAGCACGGTTCATGGTACATGTACGCGGCTTTTGTGTGAGAAAGCAAGGGTGGTGTAGGGCCTCCAATTAATGGAGATAAAAATGCATATGATGATAAATGGTTTTTGTCTTTAGTCTGTGGTGTATAACTAGAGTGCAGGATTTTAATACTGCAGCGAGCCAGAAGGCCGAACAGATCAGAACTCACAATTACAAGTAAATGCATCATTTAATCATTTGTTTTATCACTTGTCACACTTTCCATGTCAATGTGTGTATCCTGGGAATTTCTAACAGTGAACATTAAACTGCAGCATGTGGACGCTTTAAGGCTATAGTCCCCAAAATTTGTGTATTTTTTAAAAATGGATTTTTCTTAAGGTCCACATGAAAAACACACAAAAGTAATGACATGCACAGTCAAAAGCACGCCAGAGCAACAGGTGGTGTAACCCTAGTCACTGTCTAAGTAAGTAATGTTTATTTATTGAGCGCTTTGCACAGACATAAAGTCAGAAAGCGGCGTACAACAAAGGTAAAAACTAGGAATAATCGCAAACACAGTTAATAGCAATACAAACAATGTTCAAATGAAATAACAACAATAAAAAATAAAAAATAATAACCAGATAATAAAAAACAGATCAAGTAATGATAATAAAAGAATCTCAACAGAAGGCCAGAGTTCACAGAGTCAGTTGAATGTAGCAGGAGAAGTAGACTGATCCAAAGTCCCGGTGCCACAGACCTGTTTACCCCTAGTGTTTAAAATTGGTATGAGGAACAACTAATAGATTTTGAGCCCGTGAACAAAGGCTGCGGACAGCAGTGTATTAAACAAGCTTTTGAAATAAGCAGTCTGGATTGTGTCCATTTAGTGCTCTGTGTGTAAGTATGAGAATTTTAAAACAAATTCTGAGGTCAGTTGGAAGCCAGTGTAAAAATATTTAATAGGATTAATGTGAGCTTGAACACTAGAACATGTAAGAAGTCTGCATTTTCCACTTTCATTTTGAAAAATATCTCTGTCCACATAAAAACACAGAAAATTGAAACAAGAAGTCAAGAGCAACAGGTATCCGGTTGTTCAATGATGACGCGACGAATCCTACTTCCGGGTCTAAAGTAGTCTGTGTTTAATATGGCATTTGTTTTGTTAACATTGTGGTGGACCACTAGAGGGCTCCACTCACACCCAGGGTATAGGAAGTGTGTTCCTGTGTTTTGTGGCGCGATATGCGCAGTTGATGTTGGAGACGAATAAAGAAGGAGTGAGAACTGAGAGCTGTGTCGTTGATGCTTACCTCCACATTGGTGACCCCTGACTCGAGCATGTTTAATGTTATGTATTTTCTTCTATTTGATCTCAAAAAGCTCCTAAAACAGTCAGTGATCACTGTTGACCTCCCTCGGCTTTTATTACCACTAATCATTTATTTAAGCTCAGTTTTTAAAACCTTAGGATGTAACTACAGCCCAGCCCATGCAGCAGTATA